GTTATGCACGCAATAACAACGGCGAATAAAAGATAGGCGAACATTCTGAAACACAAACTTTCCCTACAGCGGCCGAAAGCTTGGCGACAAGTAACGCAGAGCAGTAACTCGCAACAGGAATGGAGCTTTCACTTTTGCATCAAACAACTTTCCAAATACGCCAGCACCTTAGCGTTTTGTTTTCGACCATGCATTCTTTGATAAAAATTGTTTGCTTAGGTGTGTATACTATCACTTCCTAAAATGTTGCTTGCCCATCTTTTTAGAATCACCCTGTATATGTATGTATATATATATATATATATATACCATTAAAAAAATCTGTTTTGAATTTATCCGAATACACTTTAGATTGATTTTCATGCATTCATTCAACCTGGAGGGTAAATATACCTTGTTTCCACCAGCTTTCTAACTGTTTTTTTTTAGCTTTCATTTATTGGTACGCATACATATGCTCAATTAAATAAGTATGGTTTATAACCCTTCGTCTAGTTGAAGAACAGATATTACATCCGTCGTTGAACAGCGGACCCAATTTTGGGTTTACGACTACTAATAGTCAACTCCGTAGCCTTGTCATTTTGAACCCAATCCAGAAGACCAGAGAACTCCTGGATCAAGTATTGGGAGAAATTTACCTTCATGGAGGTCTTTTTGATAGAACTAACCCGTATTTGCGTTAAAAGGAGAGGAAGGCCACGAGAACCTTCCACAGTTAGCCTGACGGCTAGGGGACTCAAACCCATGATCCGCCTACCACTGAGGATATTTCACGTCAGCACTATGGTCGGTGTAGGCCGGATGCGGAATTCCTATCGACCAGCCGTCGGCGGGATCGAACCCGGTTCACCTCATTGGAAGGCGAACGCTCGATCCCCTGAGCCATCGCGGATCAATAAAACAGATAGTACAATTCAGAGAAAGATATCGCGAAAGTACATCCAGCGAAATTTGAACCCCCTATTTTCACGCTACAGAGCTTTTGGCGAGCCGCTCGCTCAATGAGGTCCCTCGCTCTTTCTTGTTTTCAAAACGTTTAAAGTCTCACAGTAGACTGATCGTAAGACACTGTAGATCACTGTAGTCAAGTATCACTGCCTGTGGTCAGTGAGTATGTGCGTGACCACTTAGATCAGGCTGTGAGGGAACAGAGAGTATCTGTTCTCTATAAACTGTTCTACCGTGAAGAACTCGATTAGAAAACGCTTTAACTTTCGCAATCTGTTTAGGGGAAACAATGCGCCGTTGACGTTGGAACGCATGTCAAAATATGTCGTTCCCTTCCCATTTTAATTATGAATTTCTATACCAGGTATGGACAACGCTTCAGCGCGTAGTGCAAGAGGGTGCACTTGCACCCCCCTGTCTTCAAAAATAATAATAATAATAATAATAATAATAATAATTAAAGAGATACAGAAAAAAAAATTTTATAAATTTTTTTTTATTAAAAATATTTTTATTCAAAAACAAATAATTAAGTAATTATTGATGCATAACAATTAAAAAATTGTTTAATCAATCAAGAATTGTAATCGTCTCGTTTGCGGTCCAAATCTGTTTATAACTTTTTCAATGAATTTTGAGTCATCTTTGAGTCTTTTCTTAGGCACACTGAGCATGCACAAATTTGGCAGATATATAAGCTATATTTTTAAATTGCATTTAATAAATCATAAATAATAATATATTTTCTATTAGTTATTTAGTTTAACAACGGTGTATAACACAAACTGACTTCTCACAACTGTAAAACTTCATCAACATAAATAAATACCAATGTTAAGCGTGCACAAACACATTAGTATACGAAACTACTGTTTGTAGTTATTTGTGTTTGAAAGTCAGTAGCTATGCCAGCGCCATCAGTACAGTTTCTAGTGGCAAAACTTGCAAGTACTAGAAATTCGTACTTTTTTTTTTAAATATCTTGTTAACAATGAAGAAATGTATCTTGAAAAAAATGAACAGAGGAAAGTATATGTAATAACAAAACAAAATGTAATAACAGAATATTTAAAAAAAAATTTTTTTTTCGGTGGGGGTAGTTTGTATTTCTATTATAGCAGTCTTTGTTAGAGGGTTGCTACCCCTTTTATACCATTCTGACGGCGCCCTTGGGTATGGATATTGTTACTTTGAAATAATATAAAGTCTATGAGTGTGAAAGGATAAAAAAAAAGAAAGAGAAAACAGCAAATTTGTTGATTTATAAATTTGTCATCTACACTGGTTATCATAAATTAAGGAAAATTCACAAAAATCGCGATAACTCAAGAAATTACACATGGAATTTTATGAAACTTACCCACAATATACAACACATAGTAAGGTATTAAACAACATAAAAAGAAATTATCAGACATTAATAGTAGTATAGAAATTAGNAAATAAAATATAAGTTACTTACAAAAATATTTTAACTTTTTCTTGCACAAAAACGCCAATCTAAAATTTTAAGCACTTTCTTGAAATTTGAATTTACGGTTACTCTGATTGAAGTCACTACGCAGCAGTCTTTGCAGAAATGTGCAACTCGTCGAATGCAATACACGCATTTCTTTTGATCTCTCAAAATTCGCCTAATGAAACGAGAGTTCATTTTGACAAGGATTATGAAAAACCTCATAAAGTAAATTTCCCAGAAGCCTTTAATGCGTTTTATTAGTTTTACTACATCAAGTAAATACGCCCAACAAAAAAAAAAAAAATACGGCAATTAATCTATTACAGTCAAACCTCGATATCTCGAACTTGAAGGGAGATGAGAAAAAATTCGAGATACCGAAAATTCGAATTATCGAGAATTGCATATTATCGATGGTAGAATAAAGAAAAATGCTCTTTGCATACCTTATTTACAATACATTCCATATTTATTCTAAAAACACTTTTTACACTTTCATTTAAAAAAAGATTCAATTGTTGTTTGCTTTAGAGATGCGTAAGAAAGTTTCTCTGTAACACTTTCTAAGTGGACTATAGCTTTAAATGTCTCCTCTGACATATTCTGCCTCTCAATAAATCTCCTTACAAAGTCCACAGTCTTACAGTGTACAATGAGAATTGGTTTTTTATTCTTAAAATTTTTTATTTTTTTTGGAGTATTTTTTTTATTTTCGGAAAAAAAATCTACACTATTTATGAAAAAAAAATTCAAATTAGAAAAAAAATTCATAAAATCAAGTTTTTTCTTAACATTGAGTGTATAGGAAATTTGAAGGGAATTTTTTTTCCTTCGAGATATCGACAAATTCGTGAAATCGAGGTTCGAGTTAGCGAGGTTCGACTGTACTTTGCTTTTGATAACTCGGATGGAATATTGCAATCAAAATTCTGACCATTGTCTGGTTAGCTAGAGGGCTTAAATTTTAACTTATGCTCTGGAGGACAATATAATTTTCAATTGTTTAATTGACCGCTATAAGCAAACTTTATCGTCAATCAAAATTCCGACCGCTTCATTGACACTCTACGTTACAAGAGTTTTCTGACCTCTACAAGCAATATCCTGCCGCCCTGTTTATCAAAAATCTGACCACTGTTCGAATAGTTGTTACATATGTAAATATTAAACCAATATTAAATTCTACTAAAACTATATTAAATCCTTATGCTGTTATTGTATAATATTAGCTAGTTTAAATCAAACGTTTGCTTTCACAAAGATATAAATATTATGATCTCCTATAACTAAATAATTAATGAAATATATGAGTCTTTTAGCCCATCTGATAAAGAATTTGTCTATTACTTTTTTTTTAAATAAAAAAATAAATAATAATCGAAATTTTAGAGTCTTTGTTGACATTTGTCCACGTAGTGCATATCTATAACCTAAATTGCAATTTAAAAATAAAGCAATAGGACCAAAATAACGTTAGCTTTACAAAAATTTAAAAATAAATAAATGCATATCAATTTTTTTTAGTTTTAATCTATTTATAATGACTACTGCTATAAACAATGTGTGCATAAATCATTCATAATAACAGTTATAAGTTTTTTTTTTTTTTTTTTTGTAATTGTAATTTTTTTTGGCGTAATTTATTTAGAATTTTTTTATTTTTTTTATGGTTTTAGAGTTATGAATCTTTTTCTTGAGCGTCATTTAGTTAATATTTTTTCCCCTTCAGTTTTTGATTTATAAATCTTTCGTATAGCATAATTTATTTAACAATATTTTTTAATTCTGTAATAAACAATGTGTGCATAAAACATTCAAAATAACAGCTATGAGTTTTAGTAAGTAATTGTAATTTTTGATTTGTAAATCTTTTCTTTACTTGATTTATTTAACAATTTTTTTTCTTCTCGTCTTTGAGTAATGAATCTTTTTCTTGAGCGTCATTTAGTTAGTATTTTTTTTCCTTCAATTTTTGTTTTATAAATCTTTCGTATAGGATAATTTAGTTCATTTTTTCTTTTTTTAAATTAAGTTACGCATCTATCTTTTAACACAATTTGGGTAGCATTTTTTAAAATTTTTTTTTTAACAATTGCAATTCTTGAATTGTAAATCTTTTCTTTACGTGATGTATTTAACAATTTTTTTTCTTTTCTTTGAGTTGTGAATCCTTCTCTTGAGCGTCATTTAGTTAATATTTTTTCCTTCAATTTTTGATTTATAAATCTTTTGTAATCATTTCCTTTCGTAATCAATCCTTAGTAAAAAAATTAAGTTGCGCATCTATCTCTTAACATAATTTGGTTATCATTTTTTTAAATAAAAGAATGTGTCATAGTAAAGTTTTACGTTTACAAATATTTTGAATAAATTGTTATATAAAAAACTTTCCGAGACGAGTGCCTTCTTAATACGTAAGGATTACCCTTTCGACAATAAAGGTTTCTTACATCAAGGTCACCGTTTTCATCCCCCACCCCCTTCCAAGAAAGCAATAATTTATTTTATGTCAGCTGGCAACTTTTGAGCGTCACCCCCACCCTTCGCATACCCCCTACTTAACATGCCTTATTCAACCTTGCCCTTCAATTTGCCCCTCTGCCACAAGAAATATCTTTACATTTTTTACACAAGAAAATGAGGAGCCGCCTTGGGAAAGATGTTTATTCAGTTTTTGCAGTTTCCACTTAACGAACAACAAAGCGTCTCTTTGTGAGGAGTTTTTATCGAGAGATCAAATATCAGATGAAGAGTTGATCTTTATAAGTTTGTCTTTCGGTCAATGAGTGCCTGGAAACATGAATCTTTCCAGTGGTCATCGCATGCCCCCCATCGGACTCGGAACTTGGCAGGTAATTATGAATGCCTCCATTATTAAATAGTTATTCATCTGGATTTTTGAATCGAACAATATTTGGAATCAACGGCTTGTGTATTTAAAATGTTGCAATAAAAATAATTGTACTTATTTTGATAATAAAAGTAAGTGATAAATTTTTTTTATTTTTACTTACTTGCAAGGCCGTTATATATATATAT